AGATTTCAAGACACCGCTAATAGCTCTTCTGGCCCCTGTGGCTTGTGTATCACAAGGCTACCACTCTGCCCACAGAAACCAACAAAGAGCTGCTGGAAAGACTGGGATGGGGCCACACTGGAAGTTGCACTGGGATAATCTAGGCTCAGCCGCAGACCTGACATGCAAAGTAATGGCAACACAGTCCAATGGGTAGAAGGGCTCCTTGGGAATACTGAGGCCTGGTATCTTCTCCTGGAGGCAGGGGCTGTGTCTAGGCAGCACCTAGCATGCTAGGCCATTAGGGACTGCCTTGCCCATGTGCTGGGCTGTTGCTTGACAAGCAAAAGCTGAGTTCTTGTGCGATGGGGAGGCTCTGAAGGAGGAAAATTCCCAGGTGGCACCTGCACGATGAGTCTGTGTCTAAGGATGCTCAACGAGGGCCGACTGCGGGATCCGACGGCATTACTGCAGGGACAGAGGAAAGGAGACACGGTCCCTGGCTGGGTCCCGTCTCTTCCCCTTTATCTCCTCCGTGTGCCTGCAGCCTGCACCTCTCTCTGCTGGAGGAGCCAGAACCCACCCACATCTGCCACAATCCCAGGCCTGAACACAGACCTGGCAGATGGTGCAGCAGACAGTCTGTCTCATCCCACACAATCCCCTTGCCCGCTGTGGGAAAGATTAATGTAGAACATTTAAAACAACGCCTCTCGGTGCATTGTATCCATTCAGGGCCTTCTGAATTGCCTGGGAAAGAGCCCTGTGTCCTGCCAGCAGGTGCCCTGTCTCTCCCATGCCAAGGGCAGCGCCGTCTCCATCACGGGGGTGCCCCAGATGGGGTGAGAAAGCCCTTTGTCAGGGTGGCATCTTCCACCCGGCTCCTTTTGTGCCAGCCCCGCAGACACACCCCCTCCTCGCGTGGCTAAAATGGATGCCGCACGGAGATGCGCCGGCTTCCCGGGTTTGCTTCTCCCTTGCGCTCTTCTTTGCAACCCGGCATCATAATAATGACACTCTGAGCTGGATCCCAGTCGAACAAAGCCAACTGGTGCCCGCTGGAAAACCTGCCTCTCTGTCCTCTCATTCGAGCTCAGATCTCAAAGCACCGCATGATTTCATATCGCCTTCCAACCCCTGTCGCAGAGGGATTTAACGCTATGAGCCATGCTGTTCAGATAGAAAACAGAGACAGAGCCCACTCTGTGACATGGGTACAAGCCGCAACAATGCCATGGGGCCTCCCCCACCCTGGAAAGGGAGACTGACCTGGTGGTTTAGGAACTGGGCTGAGACTTAGGAAATACGGACCTAGGTCCTGGCTCTGCTACTACCTCTGAGGAAGACCTCAGTTGGTTCCTTTAATCAGGTAGGACCTGTTTCCCCATCCGTTTCCCCACAGAAATGCATCAACCTCTCAGGCTGGTGCAGCTCCGCAGAATCACGCTGGCTTAAGGCCAGAATAAGGGATCTTCCCAGCGTGAAGCCTAAACCCCAGAGAAATGCCAGAGGAACCTGTTTTGACAGGTTTCAAAACCCCAGAGAAATGCCAGTTTTCAGCATCCGGTTCTGATATAAGGCACCGTGCTCTGTAACGGAGCAGGGACGTCACCACTGGCTGCAGGTCCATATGCCAAGGGAAGAGGTGCGATGACGCTGAAACTTAATAAAGTCACAAAGCTATCTGATGACTCGAAGGTGAAGTTAAATAAGCGAGGTGCAAATGTTTCACAGTGATGGTCGGGAGCCACAGGAACAGCTTTTCCAAGGGAGTGGGACTGGTCTTTGTATCGCTCAAGCACAACGTACGGGCTTGATGCTCACAAGTGTCAGACAAAATGCTCTCTGACCAGGGCTACCCAGCAGTTCAGGCGGGATAAGCACAGGGTCCCTTTGGGCCATAAAGACAGAGGAGCACTTGCTAATGCTACTGCTGGTTCATGGTTTGTCAGCAGCTGTGTTGATTATTTCTGGAGATGCAGGAGATCAGGTCAGACCCACCCACTTTGGCTTCTGGATCTGCATCAGGTTCTGCAGCTCAGGCTCTTCTCTGCAACTAGCCAGAAGCCAAACCCTCCTAAAGTCCAGCCACTCTCAAACACTGATCCCAACCTCTTCCCCAGTCACTGGTTTCAAAGAGCACAACTGGGCTCATTCAGCACAAGCCTGGGCAGGAAAGAAGTATGCTAGAGTTCGAAGGCTGGGCTCTACTATGGAGCTGGTTGAGGCTCATGAGCCTCTGTGCATAGCTCAGAGGGATATTTGATCCCTTTGATGAAATCCTTTCAGTCCTGACTGGTTTACCAGCATAAGCTAGAAAGCTGAGGACCTTGACCCAGGACCCTGCACCTCTCTGAAGCCATGGGAGGTTTCTCATTCTTGAGCAGACACAATCTCAGATACAGCCAGTAGTAAGATCATGTAGTGAGACGGTGTGATGTAGCAGGTAGGACCATAGGGAGGAGATGGGCCTTTGCCCCTCACTTGGAGGCTGACCTGATGCCAGTCACTGCTGCTCTCGGGTGTCTCTGCCTCTTCTTTCAGAGACGGAAAGCTCTTTGGGGCAAGAGATGTCTGAGGTCAGGGCACTTGCTGCAAGCTGGGAGAGTGGGTTTCTATGCTCTGCTCCACAGCAGCCATCCTGTTGCACAGGCACTAGGAGAAGAAACCTCTCACCCACCAGATCAGGGGCAGGATGAGAAGCCAGGTGTCTACCTACCCAAGGCAGCCTCCTAACTACTGCTGCAGGCACTCTGCAGGAGGGAAACTGAGGCAGGGAAAGGCCGATTCCCACAAACAGCTCTGCAGCCAGGGATGATCTGTTTGGTAGGGGAAACATAGGAGTCCTGGCTTCTACTCCTTGCTCTGTTACATCTATGTGCTACCTACACCCACACTCAAGCCCCAAAACACAGACTGTTCCCTTTAAAGCCCCTTAGTTTTCCACCAGGAACAGCCCAACCAAGCCCCTACGGCCAAAACAGAGCCTCCCCTTCATCCCCAAAGCCACGTTTTAGACCTCACCCAAGTCAAAAGTTGCAAACACAGCAATTAATACCTGCCTCTTCTGTCTGCTACTTATTGTCTCTCTTGCCAGCCACAGAGCCAGACAGAGGAGGGACAAATAGGAAGCAGCCGATTCCCAGAAGGGCTTGAGTAGAGCCCTTCGGGGAATGAGTCTGACCCCTGCGTGTCCATGTGCAGCTGCCCATTGATGGGCAGGGTTAGCTTGTGAGACTCTGATTAAGATCAACCCTAAATATACCCTCCCATCTGTCCTTGGGCAAGTCTTCTATTTGCACCTCCCCTTACATTATGTTACTCTCTCCCACAGAGAGGGTGCAAGGATAAATACACTAAAGACAACTGAGGACCCAGGTGCTGTGGTAACGGACGCTGTGGAAGTGCCTGGGATAAACTGAGTACCTCTTACAGATGTGCGTGCCTGTCACCTAGCACAACAGGGCCCTTATCTCACTTGGGCCCTCCAGGCATTATCTTAATGTTCTCACTAATAATAATATTTCATCCGCCTGATCTGATTAGGTTAAGTCTCATTTGATTTTTGCAAAACACCTTTAATCACCTTGCAAATTCCACATCATTATAAATGAAGCTACCACAAACAGTTTCAGCAATCCAAGTTTTATTTTCGGCAATCCTTTTTTTTTTTTTTAAATGCAAGAAAGGCAGTCATAAAAAAAAAAAAAAATTACGAACAAGACAGAGGCTGAGAAAACATTAACGGGGGCCCTGTGCTTTCCGCTAAAGTGCCTTCATTTCATTATCATTAAATTTGCCTAGTAATTAGATTTTGGTGCATGAATATTTAAAAAAAATGTAACAGACAGGCTGTCAAAAAACCCACGACGACATCAATTCGATAATTTTTTTTTAGACAGAGACATTCATAAGCAATTAACACAGATTTCCAGGGGTTTAGGAGTTGGCTTCTTCCTTTTTTTTTCTCTCTTTCTTTCTTTCCACCTTGTATCCTTCACCTGAAAAATCAGAAGAGAAAAAAAAATGTTCTAAATATCAGCACTTTGATTATTTTTTATGTTTTAACAGTAGATTAAAGTGATCTCCAGGCCATTTTTTCTATGTGCCCATGCTGAGAGAGACTTGTTTAGCATGCTAAAGCATTGCTGCTTTTCTACCCCCAGCCCCTCCCCTCTCTTTGCTAAACAGAAGCAGGCATGAGGTTGGGTCATATATTAGACCTCACCACTCCTGCAGGACCAGATTAAATTAAGGTTGCATGAAGCTTCTGTCTTGATCTTCAGGCATTTCTGCTGAAAACAGTGATTTTGATCACTATTTGCATAATTGTACAGTTACGTATTCACCAGGTCCTTAATTATACGATCTGTGTTCGACACTTGCTTCAGATGAGAACAAGGCTTGCACGGGGCATACTAAACTGGTGTTGTATGTACCTTTTCCTGGTGTCTATGCACAGATTAGACTGGTCCCTCAATAAGCCTGGCTAGTAGGGTACGTCCCATGTTAAACCCATCAGCACAACATAATAACAGGACTGGCATGAACGCTTCCCATGGCTGCTATTCCAAGCTGAGGACCGCGATCATGACCACATCTAGAGACTGCTCCAGCTCTCCCAAGCCTGGCACCTCATCTGTACAGACCCAGACTCTGCATAGCTGCAAGAAAAGCAATTACACTCTAAATCAGTGCCTCTCAGACCTGGGGTGCCCCAAAATCCCTTACCAAAGGGTGCCTCGAGTCTAAAATGGTTGAGAACCACTGTTCAAACGAAGAGGAACAGAAGGACTGCGATATCCATTCTACAGAAGGGGGAACTGAGGCCTGGGGAGACTGAATGGCTTGGCTAAGCTCACACAGAGTGGCTGAAGCAGAGGCAGGACTGCAACATGGCCCTTATGACTCCCAGAGCAGTGTTTAAATGACATCATTGTTTTTCAGGGTTCAACGGCCACTGGATTTATATAAAGATGCCTATGCTGACTGGCAATGCTGATCTCCCACCCTGGTCTAGGTAGATGAAGCCCTTTCCCAGTCCAAGAAAGGAACCCCAGGGTAATAGCAGGCCTCCCATACAGCCGTTGCAATGGGTAAATTTGACCTTAAGCACATAGCACCATTGCACTAACTGAATCAGCTTGGAGGCATGCTTAGCTTTGCTGAATTCAGCAGTCACTTGAGATCCAGCTCATCTCAACAGAGAATGTATTTGCCACACTGCAGTGTCCCTTCTCGGCTCAGTTCTAGCAGCAGAAACCCAATTGTAATACAAACAACTATCCCAGAACAGGATATGGAGCTTGACAACAGCCTGCAAGCAAATTCTCCCTCTCATTCACTTTGTGGTGTCACACTGTTTGGACCAGTGGGGGCACTGAGCCAAGGGCAATCAGTATGTCAAGTGGACATGGGCTCGCTAGACTTCTCAATGAGAAGGATGCATGAAGAAATGAGAAATGTGGGGAGCAGTCAATAGTCCAGTGGTCCAAAGAGTTTTGGAGAGACTCATTTTGACCATGAAGTGCCAGGTCTGTTAAAGACAGGAGCTCAAATCCCAAATCTGAGTAACTGTGGTGCCAATTCAGAGTAAATTTGCTCTAATGAAAGGGTTATGCTAGATTAACAATGGCTGCAAATTTTACCCAGTTGAGAGCTATGGAAATCAGGTGGAAGAACCAGCAGGTCTCAAAGCACATGCATCAGAAACAATTAGACAGAGGAAAGCATAAGGAAAACACAAGCATTTGGACCGTGTGCTTAATTTTCATTGATTCTCATCATTTTTTAAATTATTTTAGGCACCTTAAAAAAAAAAAGAAAGAAAGAAAGAAAGAAAACATGCACACATAAAGAAGGAAAATCCTAGACCTCAACCTAGGTCATGCCTCCCCAAAATCTCCTTTGCTGAGGTTTTATCGGAAAGAGCAGGGAGTAGAAACAGTTGGTACGACCAAGCTGAGAGACCAAATCAAAAGCATGTGAGCAGATTAAAAGAATCAATCCCCCGTTTGATGCAGAGGAAATCCCACTAATTATAAAGAAGGGGCTTATTTCCTGGAGTCACTCTGTTTGAAGTCATCACAACTAGCAATACTTAATTACTCTACTTTATGGAATATAGAACGCCAAGGCCCCCATCCCCATTGCTGGAGCCAGCCTTCATGGAGGTGCCTGTGATGTACCACACGTATGGATGGATTATTTATTCAAATGAAGCTCGCCACTCTAACCTGAAATGGCAGGGAGGTTTTCAAACAAGCTTTAAAAAGGGGAGTTCAAACAAGAAAGGATTCATTTATCCGTGCAATCTACCTGGCTATTATGGAAGCTGTGTATCTGCCGTGAGACCCATTTGTATTTAATCGGCTGTCAGAACTCAGCTGGGAAACAGTACATTTAAAATAGGGGAAAGGGGAAGGAAATAGGAAGGGGTAAAGCCCTTCAGAGAAGGTTAGCCTTGTTGGTAAAAGCACTGAGCCAAGAGGCTGGGAGCAGGCTTCAATTTCTATCCTTGCATTTGTTTCTCAGTGAAGTCCCTTATGGCCAAATCTTGCAAAAGGTGCTTAGAAAGGCAGGGAGATCAATGGGATTCCTTCAACATCAGTGCCCAGGGGAGGAGAGCTCTTCCTCTCCATGGGCATGTGTACCCAGCTCAGACCATGACTCATGCAGATAGACCCAAGCCATCTTTTAGCCACATCTAGCAGCAGCACCGAGCCTGGCATACCCCAGTGCCCAAGTATTTACCCAGCTTCATGGGTTGTCTTCCAGCCCGCACAGAGCCATGAGGAAGAAAACACCACCAAGACATGGGGAAGGAAGATTACAGTTGTGACAGGGCTGCCTGGTATGTGTGCTTGGTCTCATTCTCTCCCTCTCTCTCTTTCTGCAGATGCTGACCTAGGCTTTTTAGGAAGCTTTCCCTGTGCTGGAAGCAGCACAGAAAGGGCTGGCAAGCACTAATACTTGCTCTGTGATCAAAGAGCCAAAGCTCTCTCCAATCCCATTGATGAAGAACATAAGCGGTGCCCGACTGGATCAGAATACGGTGCTAGATGGACCACTGGTCTGTCTCCTACAGTGGCAGAAATGGATGCTATAGAGGGAGAGAACTGAACTAGTCTCTCTGGAGTGATCTATCCCTTATTCAATACCCTCCCTGGCAGCATAGGATCATAGAAAATAAGGGTTGGGAGGGACCTCAGGAGGTCACATCTAATCCAACCCCCTACTTAAAGCAAGACCATCCCCAACTATACCATCCCAGCCAAAGCTTTGTCTAATTGGGTCTTAAAAACCTTCAAGAATGCAGATTTCAACACCTCTCTGTGTAACCTGTTCCAGTGCTTCATTACCCATCTACCATTATTGGCTTAGAGATGCCAGAGGAAACAACTCCAACCATTATATTCAATAGCCACTAACAGTTCTAGCAACCATGAATCTGTCTAGTGCCTTGTTGAACCTGGTTCAGCTACCTGCCTCCACCACCTCCTGTGGCCATGAATTTCAGAAGTGAACTACACATTGTGTAAAAAAGTACCGGGAGCTGAGGTCACCCAGCACAGCCTGGGTCCAGGTAGGATTACCATCTGGCCTGCACCAGTGGGATACCTACCACTGCGGTCACTGGAGCACACCAGCACGGCCCAGGGGACAGAGGCCAGGCCACATCTGCAGGGAACCTGGAGTCTCTGCCTGGCTCTCACCACTGGTCTCTTTAAACACTTTGATTGTCTTTCCTGATATCCCCTAACCTGAAAAACAGAGCATCAATATTCTTAAGATCAAAGGAAAAAAGGCTGGAAGGGACCCCATGAGGTCACATCTAGTCCAGCCCCCTGCTAAAGGCAGGATGTGACCCGATTAAACTAGCCCAGCCCAGCCCAACGTGGTCTTGAACCATCTCAGGGATGGAGGCTCCACCATCTCTCTGGGCAGCCTATTCCAATGCTTGACCACCCTTGGTCATCTCCATCCTCAGTTTCCTCTGCTGCAGCTTGAGGCCATTGCTCCTAGTCCTATCCCCTGAGGCCACAGAGAAAAAAAAGTCCTTTTCCACCTTCTCCTGAATCATCCTTCAAAAATTTGAAGACTATTACCAAGTCCACGCCCAGTCTTCTCTTCTCCAGACTAACTAACCCTAGCTCTTTCAGCCTTTCCCCATCACTCCTGTTTCCCAGGCCCATCATCACTCTTGTTACTCTCCACTGGGCTCCCTCCAATCTGCCCACATCCTTCTTGAAGCATGGGGCCCAAAACTGGACATGGATGAGGTCTCAGCAGCACTGCTTGATTTACTGCCATGTAATTGGGAAAGGAAGGCCCCAGTGCCTGCTCTCAACGTGGAGAATTGAAAGACAAGAATTGCTACATTGGTAGGTCTCAGATCAGGCTCTTTGCCTGTATGGGCCATTGGTTGGAGTAGCAGGGAAATACCAGGTGGGTGGCTGCTCATGCAGAGACATGGCGTTGAATCTCAGTTTTATCTGCACTGCTCTTCCCTTTGCTTCATGTATGAATATTTCTGTGGAGTAAATAACCCAATATTCCACTTTGGAGAACCCAGGGGAGGTTTGAAGCAGCTTGAAAGTCTACACAACACCCAGATTAAGGATTGTCCTAGGAATGACTCCTTTGAGTCATGAGGCTTCTCAGTCTGGAAATAAAAAGCGGGATGTAAAGTCCTTCCTGAGATGCACATTGGGGGAGAAAGATCATCACTACATCACAGTCTGGATTCATTTAGAAGCAAAAAACAATGGCCTTGTGCAAAACAGCTGTGGAACGGCGAGGCCCGATTTCCAAAGGCAGCAGAGACAGCAAAGGAGGAACAAAGAAAGCCGGAGGTACTGGTGGACACAGGTCTGCAGGCCTCAAGCCACCTGGTTTGTTGCTACAACTGGATAGCTGTGGGGTTAGGGATCTGAGGTGGGATCTGTTTTGGGCTCTGCAACTCCACTGTGACCATTCCCCCTCTATAAAACTAGGGATA